GCAAACTCACCGGCCCAAGTGGCTCCATCGGCTAACGAAGGGGGGAGGAGTCCGGTGACATCACGGATATCGACGTCACCGGACTCCTCCCCCTTCCCTTCGTTAGCCGTCACGGACATGGACATCACCGGACTCCTCCCCCTTCCCTTCGTTAGCCGACGGAGCCACTTGGGGAAGGGGGGGGGAGGAGTCCGGTGACGTCGATGACCGTAACGTCACCGGATCGCCGGCAGAGAGGTGAGGTGTTTTCATTAGCGATCAAAATAATTTTAATCGATCAAAAAGTTTAACAATTAATCGAGAAATTAATCTTTCATTTCCACAGCCCTAAAATATATGTACCTACAGTGTAAGTGTAATACACCCCTCACACCCAGTTCAAATATAGCCCCCATGGAAAAATATATTCTGCTATATAGAAACGTAGAGGAGTTATGGCAAAAAAAGACAGAGTAGTCCAGTAAGTCTGCCCCCTTTTTTTTTCCTTATCCCTATTCTGTTCTAGGGCAAAAATGAATGTTCTTGGTATATTCTCTTTTCAGGTAGAATGTAATGTGATACTGCTTTATGGCCACTAGATGGAGCTAAGGAGCAGAAAGAAATGTTGTTTGCCATGGAAACCATTCATCTGTTTATTCTGAATAACATTTGTATTTTTCTATCAATTACATTTTATTCTATTACGGTTAACCAAATGTACTGTTTCTTTCTGTGTTCTACTACTATCGGGCCGATACAGGGTACTCCTTAAAATGCCCCGATTCTTAAGGCCGATACCGACCCTTCAAGTTTTTAAACAAGTTCGGCTGCCTAAGGTCCCACACTTGCTGGGGTCCTTAGGCAGCCTGCTGGGGACCTTGCCGTAGCTGTCTTTGACAGCGCCGGTCTGGCCCCACATTTCCTGCTAATCTTATCAGGCACCCAAAGGACATCCTCACACCGCCATACAGCCCTGGAGCCCAGCATGAGAACACGGCACCCACTCACAGAGTCTGGCATGAGCCCGGCACCCACCCGCACCGCACGGAGAGCTCGGCACCTGCACAAAGAGCCTGGCACCCACCCACAGAGCCCTGCACCCTACCCGCAATGCACAGAGAGCCCAGCAAGAGCCCGGCATCCACCCATACCACATGGAGAGCCCGGCACCCGCCCACAGAGCCCGGCACCCATACACAGAGCCTAGAATCCTCCATGCGGTGGGGAGGAGATCAGCAAACGTGTGTTCATCTGTCTCTCTCCCCACTTCCCGCTGACACCCGTGATGCTGTGACACTTTGTGCGCCGTCAAAAAATTTGTTCTGTTTCGTTTTGTTTCGTTTTGTAAAATCCGTTATTTCGTAATTCGTGTCTTTGAACTGGGTTCAGACTAATCCAGCATGTTATTAATCTGAGTTGCCCCATTCAATATGGCCGCCAAAGTTAGGCAAGTGTTGGTCATATCGAGTTGGGCAACTCAGAATAATAATGTGTTGGATTAGTCTGACTCTAGTTGATTATAATACTTCATAGCTGCGTGGTATGTATATAGGGGAATGCACACGCACACCAGAGCCAACTCATCCAAACCTCTTACTGGGAAGTCAACCGGATTGGACGTCATTGGAGATGTTGAGAAAGTGGCATTTTCTACAGAACACAGGCAGGAAGAAGCATGTCCTTAGTCTTCTCCCCCCTGCTGATCACACTGCTGCACTACAACATTATAGCAAGTCACAAGGTAGGAGCCTGCAGCAGGTGCAAAAGTGCACAGGCGCCATAAATGACTATCATTGCGAACCAGCATCTTAGTTCAGGAAGCAGATGCTGACCCTGGATAATGCCTGTAATAAGATGGTTCTGTCCTTCTGGAGGGAAAACCAGATGAAGACATCCCCTGTGATGCATGAACTTACACTTGCACTTAAAAATACATCTGATGTTTTTCCACTTTAATAAATGTTTAGCTGTTATACAAGTAATGTAAAATGCTGATAATCCTGCCATTGTGTTATTTGTGCTATCGCAAGCTTCCAGTGGTTTCCATCCTGGGGTAGACTTAGCTTTGGTGTATCTTGGCACATGTCAGGAAGTTAAAGGAGAACTATGAGGTGAGTCAAATTCACTCATTCTCATAGTTCGAGCCGACGTGTGACAAAGAAACTGTCACAGGTTGGCTCAATAGATCGGGAAGTGAGCGAACGCATACCATCGCTCGCTCGCTTCTCGATCATCTCCCTGCAGGGAGCCGTGACTGTCACTCACGGCTCCCTGCAGGGACTCCCCCTCCCCGCTCCGATCCTCCAGCGCTGACTGGCGGAACGGATGGGGCGGGTACAGCTGGCTCTGCCTCCAGATAGGCAGAGCCAGCTGTCAATCACGCAGCTGGGTGGATCTCGACAGTAACGTCGGGATCCGTCCCGGCTGCGGCGGTCTCAGTATAGCTTTGAGTCACGGGAGGATGCTAGTTTGTGTCCTCCAGTGACCCTAAGTAGAACTATGGGGAAAAACACTTACCCTATAGTTCTCCTTTAAACATTTTTAGGGACAGATAGAGCTTTCTTTTGGTGGTATTTTATCACAACTGTGGAGGGGGGGTTATTGTTTAATATATAATGAAAAAAGTACCGTACATTTTTTTGGGAAATTTTTTTTCCTACGCTGTTAAAAAACATTTATTCTTACCCATATTTTTGGTAAAATATAAAAGACGGGGTCACATCGGGTAAATAGACACCAAACATGTCAAGCCTTGCATGCGCCCGCAAAATCGCAAAAAACTACCACACCGACATTTGTCCATAGGCGACGCTTTAACTGGTTTTACTGCTCATCAGTTTAGTGTTATCAGTGATTAACGGCCCTAAAATTATTGCTCGCACTCCGACGTTCGCGGCGATATGTAACATGTGCGGCGCAATAGGCACAATTGTCGTTTTTGCACCTGACGCATGTTTGCGTGTGTATGTGGGGGCGGGGGACTTAAAAAAATTTTTTTTTTTTTATTTTTTTTTATGCTTCTTTCATTTTTTTATGACTCTTTTTTTTTTTTTTTTTTTACACTTAACTTTATTACTATCACATGGAGGGCTAAGAAGCCCCCTATGTGATAGCCAATTTACATGACAGGTCCTCTTTATGGAGACATCAGGGGTCTCCAAGACCCCTAATGTCACCTAGGGACCCCCAGAGAACCCGATGAAGCAGAGATCTGCTTCACCAGCTTATGAAGCTGGAGAGTGACAGCGGAATGCAGAAGTGATGTAATATACATCACTTCCTGCATTCGGGGACCAGAGAGAAGATCAAAGGGAGATTGTGTATTGATCTCCAGTCACAGAGCAGCCGCACCGGGCATAGCAGATCGGGACCGGCAACGGCAGTGACAGCAGCTGCCAATACAAGCAATCGGGCGTCTCTAAACGCCCGATCGCTTGAATGTAAAGCTCCCGTCCCGGCTTTTAATTACATCGGCCGGACGTGAAGCTGCTCGTCCTGCTCCGCCGTCCTCTCGCCGCTGACGAGAGGAGGAGCGGATTTTTCAAGCCCTGCTGATAATGCTGCCATTGTGTTATAGCAAGCTTCCAGTGGTTGTCATCCTGGGGTACACTTATCCATGGTGTATCTTGGCACATGTCAGGGGGTTAAGGATTGGTTTCAGCATGGCAAATCATCAATTCACTTCCTAGATTGTGACATCAATGAATCTTGCTCTGTCCATGAAATGGTTAAAGGAGAACTATGAGGTGAGTGCTTTTCACTCACCTCATAGTTCTAGCCGACCTGTGACAATGAGACTGTCACAGGTCGGCTCAGTAGATCGGGAGGTGAGCGAACACATACCGGCGTTCGCTCACCTCTCGATCCTGTCACAGCTCTCTGCCGTGACAGGGGAGGGGATGGATTCCCCCCTCCCCGCTCCGATCCGATCCGTCAGCGCTGACTGGCGGAACGGACGGGGGAGGGGGCGGGTACAGCTGGCTCTACCTCTAGATGGGCAGAGCCAGCTGTCACTCACGCAGCTGGGCGGATCCCGGCATAATTGTCGGGATCCACTTCAGCTGTGGGGTCTCAGTATACCGCAAGCAGTAGCTACCTATATACTGAGCTTAGGGTGACGGGAGGACGCTAGTTTGTGTCCTCCCGTTACCCTAAGGAGAACTATGGGGAAAAGCCTTAACCCCATAGTTCTCCTTTAAGCATTGGAAGGATACTGCTTGCCATGCAGCTGCATGAAGGTTTGATACATTAAAACGTTTTGTGCCTGGCCTCTCTGTAATCTCCTTCTCGGTTTCAATGTTTAAAGAAAGTTTACAGGGGATATACACAACTCACAGATTCCATAGATCCCAACTATCCCCAATTTGGAGAGACTGTTCCTCTTTGGGAACCTAGTCGCTCTGTCCATCTTTCCTCCTTAGTTGTCACCCTTTATGGTTTGATCTATAGCCCTGTATAAAATGTATTATATTACTACCGTACAATAAATGTTACAATGTGCCGAACCATTCGTCAAATCTCCAAATGATTGCATTTATTATTTGAAAAGCCAGTTTAAAGAAAAAAACAAGTGCTTGTGGCTTTAGCCAATACGTTTTTGCATGTACATTTTTTGTGGTTCATGTGACTGGGGGCATGCTAGGGGGCGTGTCCTTTGCTAATATATATTTTGCTAGGGGCTTTTTTTGGAATGCAGTAAGCAGTTGGGCCCCCTGTAATCCCACTACAAGTGAGAGAACCCTGTACCTTGTGCGAAATTGTTTCCCTCTTTCCCATCTCAGAAAGTTGGGAGGTATGATTATTTCAGAATTTTCTAAATTGGGTTGATGTGGGCTTGCAAAAAACAGAGAGGGGAAATGTTTAGGGCTAAAAGGAAAAACAGAAACAATGCTTCTGCAGACATTTGCTGTCACACTAAAATGTAGCAAAATCCTGAAAACTATTTTCTTGATAATTTTCAAAAGTGCAATAGCTGTATGCATGGTGTCAACAGATCTGTAGGTGGTACCTGAACCCGGGACATGACCCTTGCGATGATAAATGAGCACAAACAAGTTCCTTCTTCTGTAAAGAACAGGAAACAACCACAGAATGATGAAAAAGATTCCCCGGTATACCATTGTCTGTTTTATCAGTCTTCTATGTGTTTTTAAAAAAAAACACTTAAAGGAGAACTATGGGGTAAGTTCCCCATAGTTCTCCTAAGGGTCGCGGGAGGACACAAGCTAGGGTTCCCCCGTGACTCAAAGCTCAGTATACGGTGAGATGGCTTTGCTAGGCTTTTATATTGGAAAGCCCAGTGTGATCTACAAACAGTGTAATTGAATCACCCTATAGGAAATGTAATTCTAAAATAGAGATTTTACACACACAAATATATAAGGACTAGAGATGCACTGATACCAATACTAAGTATTTGGGCAAGTACTCATAATCACCCAAATGCCCCCGATACTTCTCCCGATACCAGAATTTCCGGTATCAGGAAACAGGGTGGCGAATCATTACATGTCGCCCAGGTCCCTGATTGGCCAGGAAGCCGGCTCCATGGTCCTTTGTCACTTGGTGACGAGGAAACATGGAGCTGGCTTCCTGGCCAATCAGGAAGCCGGACAGCAGGAACCTGGACGGCAAGTCATTACCCGCCCTCCGACTTCCTGATTGGCCAGAAAGCCGGCTCCATGCTTCCTCGTCACCTAGTGACGAGGGAGCTTGAAGCCGGCTTCCTGGCTAATCAGGAAGCTGGGTGGAGAGTCATTACACGCCGACCAGCTTCCTTAATGGGACTTCCGGTATTCGGTATCGGCGAGTACCGGAAAAAAAATATCGGTACTTGTACTCGATACCCGAAAACCGGTATTGGTGCATCCCTAATAAGGAGAGTTTATAAATGTGTAAAATAAAAAAAATCAATGAATGAGCCAAAAACTGTCTCATGTGAGGGTTAGAAGAGAAACTACCGATAATGATGTCAGTTTGCTACTCAACATCTACAAGGCCTGAAGATGAAACGTCAATGGGAGGTGCTGATGTTTACATCATTTGGCACACTTTTAGAGAAAAGGTAATATTAAGCAATTCTTCTGTTCATATTTGTGGTAACAGCTGCACTTCCTGTGCCACGTTCAGAGGAGGATGAGCACGGTGGCAATGCCGGGACCTCTGATGCTGTTACTTCTGCTGCTGGACAGCCAGATTATCGGTGAGTCTGCAGACGCTTTTCTCTAATGGACTAACTAATGATTTATAGCACAGGATACAAAATGTTCTCATTCTAATATTTTTTTTGTTTCTTTCATATTTATAGTGTTCATCCACCTAAAGCTAGACACACATACAATGTAATTAATAATCTCTGTACAATCACCTTTAAGGTGACCATATGCTGGCCGAATTGTGGCCGCTTTTTAATGAACTGGACGAAATTCGCACAGTGTGTGGGGCTGTCGGCTCAATTTTAGCCGGCATTTCTCGATCAGCTCATCGAAGGAGCCGGCTGGAAAATCTCAGTGCGATCTGAAAGGCAGCCAATGAGCTGACCGATCTGATCGGCTATGCAAACAGAGGCGATTCCTCGATCCTGTGTGTGTTGATGGAGAAATCGCGTCATTTTTTAGACGTTCAGCCTGCAGGTTGAACGAAAAAAATTGATAGGTGTATGATCAGCTTTAGATTTACCAACAATTTTGTAGTTTTGAGGGGTTAAAAAACAATCCATGCAATGGATGCCCAGTCAGGTAGGCCCTTGTACCACACAGTTGGTGGTAAATTTAACAAGTCTGGCAGGCTTGAAGTGTATGTCTACATTTGCAGCCGAATTGGGATAACATCTATATTATATTTGTTACATGTTCCTATTCACTAATCCTTTTGATGTTAATATCACTTTAAAAGAATATTTTAAATCACTGCTTACATTTCAAATGCTTTTTATTTGCTTAAAAATCCTACCTAGCTTCCCCCCTGAGTAATGTTAAGGAGGGGGCTGTGTGAAGTTATGTTTACTCTAAAGCTAGCCTCACACCTACAGATTATCTGCAGATTTTCTATGGTCAGATAATAAAAGTGCAGATTCCTCCATCTCCCGCTGGGCCAAGCTTCAGTATCTTGCGAGTCGGCAACGCTGGCTGCCTGCATCCAATCAGATTGTTCAGGTACTTTGAGAGCCAGCGGGCATGCACACCCATGAGATGGAGAAAAACTACAGTACCCAAAATTGCCCGTAGGTGACGCTGTAAAAGCCTTTATCACTATCAGTTAAGAGTTGAAAGAGAGTGATGGCGCAAAAATTATTGCTCACACTCAAACGTATGTAACATATGTGGCGCAAACGTTGCTTCTGCTTGTAGGCACAACCGACCAGTGTTTGCGGTTGTATGTGTGTGTACACAGGGGTGGAGTGTTTTAAAAACATCTGTTTTTGTTTATTTTTTACTATACTTCACTATCATTTTTTTTTTTTACTTTACGTCTCCCAATGTTAAGACCCAATTAAAGGTCTAGGGGGAAGATGATGGCAAGGGGTTAAGGAAAATTTTGGGCTAATCTTATCTTCTGCGGTGGCCCAAGGCTCATAGAGCGGGCATATCAAGGTCTCTGTTCACATCCTCAGCATTCGCAGTTGACATGCATGGGATCTGCAATGCTTGTGGTTGGTGCTATGAGTATTCTGACTCCGATCGTTGTGATAGCGAAATATATCCCTTGCTGAGACCTCTATGCCTGGCCTGTATAAGCAGATATACTCACTGCGGACAATCCTCGTCAGATAGCTGAACTCGTCAATACCGATTCATTCAAAAGAGGTGTTTATTCTTTAACATCAGGGTTACAGCAGATGATAGGAACAGCAGATGAACGGTGATAGTATTGTGCGATCAGAAAATGATGCCTTTCCTCCGTACTGTGCAGATTATATATGTGTCCTGTTACATGTGGCTTGCTAGCTTTGGCCATGACACAGGAAGTACTGCACACAGGAAGAAGGAAGGGGCGTACACTAGGGGGAAATACATCGTCACATGAGGAATAATTCCAGAAAACATGTTTGTTACAACAAAAGGCCACTAGATGGCAGCATAGGATAACACATGAATTTAGCTATGAGAAAATAGTTAGGCAAATCACACTATATAAATTCTAACCTATATAACAATGCTAATATTAACTGAGGCTATGCATCTCATATTCTATGCCCCTATTGGGGCGGCACAATGAGTATGGCCCCCCAAAAAAGCCAAACTAAGATGGGTGACAACAATGCCGACCTGTTCTCCGGTGGCGCAATCAGTTAGCACATGGTACTTAGGGCAGTATCTGTTGAGCAAGGCCAAGGTTGTGAGTTTGAGCCTCCCCTCACTCCCAACAAACACACAAAAACCCACAAACCCCCCAACCCATATCCCCTGTAGCAACCACACAAAAAAAAGTTAGAAAATTAGCATTGCTGTATAAAGTACAACTGAGATTTGTAGTCCCAGAATGGGACCTGCTATATAGAACTACAAATACCAGCAGTACTTTATACAGCAATGCCATCAATTGGGCTACAAACAATAATGATTTTATTTAATATCGTACCTTCACCTTCTCTGGCTGTTTCCTGGTGGGGGAGGCTGCAGAAAACCACCCCAGTGTGTGTCTCAGACAGCGCGCCCGTGTGTTCAGGTAGCTGCTTGCTGGGTCCTCACGGCCGAGGCCCAGGGCTGCCCCCTGAAGTGCCTGCAGGCTTTTTTTTATTCTCAGCTCCCTCCACAGTATCCAGCGGCCGGCGGGCCCCCTCATCTCTGCGCCAGGAGTGTTGGATCTTCGGTAGGTCCGCCACTGTGTCCAGCGACCTGAGAACTTTATGACAAGGCAGCAAGCAGCCAAAGAACTGGTGTTTTCACTAGTGGTGCTTACATGAGCTGTCCATCAGTTAGACTGACAACATTCTTTAAATTGGGCAATGTGACCATGTTTCATGGATATGGATGTAACATGAAACATGGTATAAAAGGTAAATGTAGCCTTTAAGTATATAATAGCGGTGTTCTATTTTCTAGCATTTAATTCAATACCTGAGGGATGGAAATATGAGGTGGTCTATCCTCGAAAACTTCGTACTCAGCACAAAAGAGATACTCAGGTAAAGTAAACATAGAAGCTGTAACCTGTCTATAGCCCTCAATCAGGGCCGGAGAAAATTAGAATACATTAAAGAGAAGCCACTCATTCCGTACTTGTGAACAAGCTTGAAATATGTCATATCACTGTGTAGCACTATTTGGGTACACCCGGCACATAGCTTACAGAAACATGGCTTCCCTGTTATCCAACAGTGACGTTCAGGTCCGGATGTACTCTCTCTGCTGCCCCAAGGCCAGGTTCCTCAATGCGCCCCCCTACCCACCAACCCCCCCCCCTCCCCATGGAGAATGG